TGGATATTTGTTTTGGAAATGTATTGTTCTGTGAGCAGCTGGAGCCAAGCATTTTTTTTTGGTAGGGGTTATCTAAGCCCTGACAGGAAAACTTCTGTGGCAGGCACGTTACCAGAGAGAAGGGAAAGACACTGTTCTCCCTGTTCTACTAGGACAGATTGTGAAAAGTCAGGCTCCCCATGCTGATTTTATTAGCTCTATAACAGGCCTTGATACCATTGACTTGAGTATCAATTTAAAGGTTAAATTTGATGGGGTTATGCAGCTTCATTAGCATTGTTTCAACCTCTCGCGTCAAGCTAATCTTAGAGAACGACAATGAATGACATTGGGTCTGTGGGTTTCTGCTACCCCTCCTGTTCCTCATGTTTATGAGGCAGGTAGAAAAAGCAATAAGACAATATGAGCTGCAGTCTCAGCTGCATGCAAATAACTCTTACTATCCATCTCTCTCTCTTTCAACAAAAATCAAAATTGCATGGATTTGCAATTACAGTAGCCCTTCTTTCCCAGTGCCCAGCAAGATAGGGACATAGATATGGATACAGTTAAGTTCGTGTGAGATGGAAATGGTTTTAGTTGGCTGTGAAAAAGTCTCTGCCCTCCACTATTTGTCTTTGTTCTTGTTCCCCAGGAAGCATGGAATAGGTGCCCTGGAAGCGGGGCTCTGTGATCTGCTCTGGCAGTTGAGGTCAGCTGTAGTGCTTTAGTAAGATTCAAGTGTTTGGGAACAGCTGATGGTCCCTCTGTTGTGGGAAACCCTCCCTTCTGGATTAATTTCTGCTCTGCTCATAGAGTCAAAGTGCTGGCTTTCAGGGCAGGGCACAAGCCTGTCTGGTTCTATAGACTCTTGCCTGATGGGATGATGGATAGAGGTAAGAGGAAACTGAAATACCATCATAAATCTTAGGATAGAGGCTTTTTTTCCTCCCAAAATGTTTCTGTTGATATTTTATTTCTGAGCTGGAGCAGCTACATGGGTGATTTTTAATTATGTTGACAGCACTCAGATACACTGACATAGCTTCAGCTACCTGCATCGTAAGGAGCTTATGTAGGCTGTAATAATAGGTGTCAGTTTTTGATACCTCCTGTCTATTATGCTGAAAGAGCCCCATTGAGATCAACAGGACATTTGTATAGTAAAACCATATTCAGATAGGGTTGGGGTTTCTTTTACATATTAATACTGTAATTATCTTACTTTAGTACCTACATCTCACTGCAATTATTTGCAGAGAAAGCAGCCATTCAGCATATCTATTAGCAATCTGAACCTAGCACTAAATAAGTAATTAGCATAGCAGCTGTCATTCCACCACGGCATCCTTGAAGAACTTATGGGGCAGAGCAAATAAATGTATCCCATGTTCTGATTGGGATGTTATGTGGGATGAAGCATTACATCCTGGTCTCCTTCAATACACATGCAAAAGGAAGCTAGTAAGAATCTAAAGTTCAAGACCACATTTGAAATCCTGAGTGCACGATTGTTTGCACTGCTCAATAGGACTGTACGAAACAGCACCTGTCCTGCTTTGACTTCTATTTCGATGGAACAGTGTTTTGTTTCAAGTTTTGTTTCATTTCAAAAGCACTGTTCTGTTTCATTGAAACTGTTTTGCTGTTTCAATGTTTTGCCCATAGGCTATTCTGCACCCAGCTGGCAGCACCAGCCTCCTGTCATCTGAGAGGCAGGTGGGGGGCCCGCACCCCTGGGAGCAGTCCAGTACAGCCCCTCACAGTCCTCCTGGGGGTGTGGGCAAGCCCCCAGTCTGCCTGCTGCATGACAGGAGGCTGGTGTTGCTTGCTGGAACCAATGGCAGCACCGATCTGCCCAGCATAGGCTGCACCCAGTGCTGGTCCCAGCTGGCAGCACCAGCCTCCTGTCATCCAGCAAGAAGGCTGTGGGGGCTGTGCTGGACTGCTCCCAGTGGTGTGGGGCCCCAATCTGCCTGCCAGATCACAGGAGGCTGGTTCTGCTGCTTGGAGCCAGGGCTGTCCCGGGTGGGGAGGGGGAAATCAGGGTTACTGTCCCAGGTCTTGCCCCTTGGGGGGCCCTGTGAAGCCCCGTGGAGTTGCTGTGGTGGCTCTGTGCCGCTGCTGCCACCTTTGCACCCAGCCGTTTGCTACCTCCCCCCCCACCCCTCCCTTTTCTCTGCAATGAAGAACTTGAGCATCTGCAAAACCAAGTTGTGGAGGCAGTGCCATGTCATGTGTCAGTACTTCATTAGCCCCCAGTAGCAAATGGAGCATATTTTAAGAACCTCTGCATTAATGAATTGTTATAATTATTATCAGCTGTAATTGCATTGCTCAAGAATATATTTTGGGGGAATTATCTACATTGAAGGCTCCAAATTTAGCTCAAAACTTACTAAAAGTATCTCAATAACATTTTGAAATACATTCAGTGACTGGACTGACCAAACAGGCCTTATACAAGAATGTAAAGACCTCAGAAGTCTACCTTTCTGGTCCCCTCAGTCTTGCAGGATACTTTCAAGTCTTCCATTATGACTTTGGACTGGGGAGATGGCGAGTACCAGAGAAGATGAAAAGTTCTTCTTGTCACTGACTTAGAAGGCATTGGCTCAGCTAACCATCACTGTTATTAGGTTTTTTTATGGGGAACTAGATGTTCTGAAGTACATTTGTAAAAAATAATTTATTAATGTTAGGGCCTCTACAACAGTCTCCAGTGCATCCTTGACTGAGAAGTGGAGAGAGCCCAGCACCAGCAAAGTAGCTGATTGGAGGCATGCTATTTATTAGACCCGAGAAAATTTGATGGGATCACATTCCAGCAGAGTAGGTGGTGAAGAATTTTGCTTTGAAAGAAAATGCAAAATGTGCACAATATTGAAACATTCTGTTTTGAATTGGGTGCTTTGAGGTATTTTTTCAAATGTTTCAATTAAAAAAAAAAAAAAAGTCAAATGATTTCACTCAGAACAAACTTTTGGGGGGGGATTTCCTTCATGAAAAAAGTCAAAATTTTCATTTTCCAATTCAGAAGAAAAGAAAAATTTGGAATCTTGATATCCTTCATCAAATGGAGCATTCATTCTTGTACCAGCTCTAGCTTTTATGTAGAAATCCAGCTCACCCCAAAGTAAGAGGGTGGATGGAGTTGGGATAGAGTTCCCCGCAGAGATCTAGGAAGGACTATGCATTGGAGGCACAAGGCCTCCCCTATTTCCTTTGTGTTAAGGAAGATGCAAGTTACTTCTGCCTGTGCACTCATTAAATTATACTGGCCACTGAATGAAGGAAAGCAAGGCCAACTAGGGCTCTTCTAATAGGGAACATCTGGTGGCCACAACTGCAGTTAGATCAACCTCTTCCAAGCAGGGAAGAAATAAGGCAGGAAATCTCCAAGTTTTTATCCATGGAGGGAAAGAGGCAAGGGGCTGCTGTAGTTTGAAATCCTGTTTGCAGCTTTGACAGTGACTCTGTGTGACCTTCAGAACATCACTTAATGGGTATGTGCCCAAATACCCCATCTGTATTAGCACTGTAAGATACCACCAACTAAATAGTATTTAGATTATCTAGATTTTACATAATGCTTTTATGTTTAATGCTTTTAACGTTTATCTAGATTTTATATAATGATTATCATAAGGGCAAGCACTTTGAGAGATGTATCTCTGTGTAAGAAAAGTGTAAAACTTCACAACATACATGGGAAAAAAAAAAAGTGGTTAATATCTGTCCTAGGACACTGGTCAGAAGTTAACTGTTGTTTGTAGATACCTCACAGCAGAGGGGGAAAAACACACCCTCTCTCACAAGGACATTATTGAATGCCATATGACTTAGCCTCTCATCTGATTAGTTCAGTCAGAGAGATCACAAGACTCCGTTACAAAGAATGGTCATAATGACTCTTCAGGATGACCTTGCGTATCTCCAGAAATGATATGTTCCAATTTCATTTTATCAATGGAGAGCAGTGTTAGTTCAAGGTATTAAAAAAACCAAGACTAATTACAAAAAGAGAGATGCCTACTCTTAGTTCCTGTATCATGTGAATGACCTCCTCCTTGTTGCACAGAACATTAGCATATTAAACCAAAGATGCACGTCATCAATCTGCAATATTGTCTACGTAAGCTGCATGCTCAGAATCCCATGGGCTACCACTAGTGCGGTTGCTTAGACTCATTTCCAAGAGTGGAAGTAACATGTGGGTTGGGACAGGGGTCTGGGTTAAGGATAGGAGTCCTTTAGTCTGGAGTTCTGAACTCTCTCTCCAGCTCTGAACCCGAAGTCCAGAAATGTCCATAATACAAAAGTTTACCTTGTCTTTTCAGGAGCAGAAAGACAGGGAGATCTGTACTGTCTCTCATCTTACACTCAGACTCATTCCCTTGAATATTTGGTATTTTAATAGGAACTCTTTCCATGGCTGAATGTCTGTAAAACAAACTAAGATCCTTGGTGTTTTCATATGGCTAGAAATACACTGGCTTAACTGGACTGGACTGGTTAGATGAACACCTTGCTGAGGTCGTTTGACCCCAGTACTCTTTCCTGCCATGGCAGGGGCTTGGATTCGATGATCTGCTCAGGTCCCTTCCGACCCTAGAAACTATGAAAGTACTAATGCAGAAGTGTGCTGGCACTACCATGTTTGATAAAGTTTAATAGATTTCATAGGCATTAGGGCTGGAAGGGACTTCAGCAGGTCATCGAGTGCAGCCCCCCCCCACCTGAAGGTTACCATAATAAGTTATTATAGTTGCCTTGGACACTAGGCCTATCAAACTCAGTTTCCTAAATTAACCAGTATTTTCACATTAATGAGTCTAGTGCTCTATTTATTATTGTTTAGATGCATTGCAGTTTTCCACAATGACCACATTTACAACATTAATCCTAGCTGAAGTAATATTCTGATAGAAAACCCACTGGTGTGTGAAATACTGATTTAGCCCGGAAGTGATGATTTAAGTGATTTTTACAAGCATGTTTTTTCCACCTTATCATCGCAGGTCAGGAAAGGTTTGGAAACATGACAAGGGTCTATTACAGAGAAGCCATGGGTGCATTTATTGTCTTTGATGTTACAAGACCAGCAACATTTGAAGCAGTGACAAAATGGAAAGAGGATTTGGACTCTAAGTTGATTCTCCCTAATGGCAAACCTGTGTCAACAGTTCTCTTAGCAAACAAATGCGACCAGGGAAGAGATGTTCTTACGAACAACGGCATCAAGATGGATCAGTTCTGCAAGGATAATGGGTTTGTGGGATGGTTTGAAACATCAGCTAAGGTAATGTTTCCGTTTCTTTCATTTGAAATAAAGGGAATGTTTGAAAAGCATTCCCCAGCTCCAGAGAAATTAGCTATAAAAGAGCTTACTCAGTTGAAATATGTACCTTGCCTTATCTCTGCTGAATTAATGTAGGGTGAACTGAAGCACTTGTTTTTTTGTTTGTTTGTTTGTTTTTAATGTACAAACAAAAAAAACCTTTAAAAGACTTTAAAATAGGCCTTTAATCTTACTTTGCAAGTTATATATAAGACTGAAATGAAGGTTTCTCTAAAGTGGCCGGCAGGAGCAAGATAGGTAACCAAGTGTCCTCTTTGGGGAGAAGCCATTTATGAAAGGTGCTACAGTATCTTCATGGACCCACAAAAAAAGAGAAAGCATCTCTCTATTTATTTTGTATGGCCATAGCGCACAGGAACCTTTTTATGGACCAGAATAATGTCTTTACAAAAACAAAACAACAAGATGGTCTGCTCTGGCCGTTCTGAGCTGCCTATCCTGAGATGCTCCTTCTCATAGATCTTTCTTTCCTGAGGCTCCTCATACTCAGGTAGGTCCAGGGCTGAAGTGCTGACCTGTACTCTCCCAGTTTCAATTCCTAATTTGAACACATTTTCTGGCTGACATTGACCTAGTCTTGTAAGGCTGGATTTTCAGAAGACAGCTAGACTGGATTTCTAAGCGTGTCTCATGAACAAAATCAGCTCCCAATGTTTGCAACATTCTTGATAACCCTTGCCTTGATCCTTCTATCCCTCATCTGTAAAAGGCAGGTTGTTATATTTCTTATCATTCACCCTTTTTGTCTCATCTTTATTGAGAGTCTAAGCCATTTGGGGTAAAAACTATCCTTTACTGTGTTTCCGTACAGCTCCTGTTTTGAGAGGAATCTGATTTTCCTTTGGTGATTCTCCATGTTACTGTAGTACTAACAATTAGTAATCCATAATAAATGGCAAGGTGCTCAAGTTAATTCACCCCAAAGGAGATCTGATTAAGCTCAGCGTGCTGGAACTGGGGTTTCCAGGAAATATAGTCATTTCTTATTCCTCCTAAAAGGGGCTCTTAATATGACCATGCTAGTGTGTGAAATACTGATTTCACTCGAAAATGGTGATTTTTAGCACATATCACAGGCTTCTACTATTTCAAGCCTGTCAAGCCATGAGCTTAGGGTTGGTTCTCTCTTTCCCTGCAAAAGTTGGTGACTTGACTACAATGTGAGTAAAGCATTTTATGGTGATTCATGCATAATTTAAATGACTTCTAAAGAGTACATTTTTTTTCCTCTAAGGTTACTATAAATTGAGTAAAAAATACCCCAAACCCTAAAAAGCTAAATTCAGACATTTGCTTCCTCTAAGGCAGTTATGAAATTAAGGATGCTTGGAATGTCTACACATGCATTTCACTTTTCTGTATCTTGTCATCAAAACTTTTTTTCTGATATTTCAAACAAATTTCTTTGCAATCAGAAGACACATCACATGGTGGATGACTAAAAGGGTTTGAAATTCATGCAGAGGTAGTACCCAGTACAATCAAAGTCTCAAGCAGTTATTTACGTTCATCAAAGTATCTGCGTATTCAGTACTCAGGAGTCCTTGTCTTAACAACCAGGTTATAAAACCAGTTCCTGACTCAGCTGCTTTTTCAGTAGACCACTTTTAACAAAGGTGTTCAAAGACATTTTTAAGCCTGGCTTTTGGTGCTTAGGGCCAAACTCAATTGTGTGATCTGTGGAGTAAAATATGTTAAAAAAGTGTTCAGATCTATTCTAGGACTGCTTTCTCTCTGTGTTGTGGGAAAGGAACTGGCATCCTCAGTCCAGCTCTGAGCCTCTAGCTGTTGGCAATCTGTCCAGAGTAGCCAAGTCTGTCCTCTTAAGTCAGCCTTCAGCTACAGAGGTGTATGGTGAATGCATCTTTCAGGTCACAGAAGGTCTATGTGTAGCAGAGAGACTTTGCCAGGATTATGTGGAGAAGTTATTCTGGTTGGAGTCTGTAGGAGTGGGATAAATGGGGGGAGAAAAATGTACCTGCATTTCTTTAAACTAAAATTGCATTCAATTTTGATTTTATTTCAAATAAGGGAAGACTCCAGATCAATTCTGTTACTATTTGGTTCTCAAATATCTAATAGGCTGTCACAAAGGAATAGGTGCAACCATTTAGAGGTATGGAAGAATGACAGTATGAAAATATTTGAGTCCTGTGGCCAGTGAATCTGTAATGGCTGTGAAAACACAAGCTTATCACCTTCCACACTCTTTGAACCTGTGCACTAAAGAATAAAGATCTGTTATTCTGCAGAGTTTCCCCCACTCCTAATTTTCAGCTAAGACTAGAAACAAATACCAAAAATATCCTCACAATCTATTTCCACACCAGTAGGACAGGTTTAGGTGGTTCATATATACTTCGCAACTTGTTTTTATGGACCTGACTAATTTGCCTTAAGGCTTCATCCTGAGAACAGTTGCTGCCATAAGTAACCCAATTAAATCCAGTGGGGCTACTGATAAGTGTAATGGTTCTCACATGTAATGGCGTACATGTTCAGGCCCTCCAAATACTGCAAATTAGGAACAATTCCCCTGAGAATAGCAGTCACACTGGTATATACCTAATATATGTGAGACCAGAATTGCTTTGCAGCTTGACCTAAGTTCTGAACTAAAATCCATAGTGCTATTTTTTTTTTGAAGCTGTGATTACAGATTGTTTTTAAATTATTAACTGTAACAAGCCTTCAGGATTTTTCAGCCTAAGGCAAATTAAATCATTGAACTCAGGTGTAAGGGAAACAAACAAATCCTCTTTTTTTCTGCAGAAAATAGGAATTCTTCTCTGAAGCAGAATAATATCAACTGAGAAACCATCACACTGCAGCTAGCAATTTTAACAGTTCAAATAAGTAATAACTCTTTTTGTGGGATCCTGGTATAATTGGCTCTCCAGAGGTTTTCTGGAAACATGCTTAGCATTGTTACGGTTTTCAGATCTCACTGCCTCAGACTTGTATCTTTTGGGAAAATAAAGGTGATTATTTATAAAAATGCCTCCTTTATTCCTGGATATAGATACTTTATAGAAAATTGGGTTTTATATATATATAAAACATTAGAATTTAGGCAGTCATTTGTTTGAAGTTTTCACATGATGCTGTTGGAGAATTACACAGTTGGACACTGTTGCATCATTTCCTGGTACATTTTTTCTTAAGTTAATGATCTTAAAATCCAAACAGTTGGGGCACAGAATGCATTCTCTATGACTGTCTGAGTTCATATTTTGTTTTTAAGGAAATATTTATTTCAATTTTCTGCTCGCTATAAAGATTTGAGAATATGCTCTGACATGTAGCCGCAAAAAGTACCTTGCTGTGCAAAAACACAGTTTGGAATATTCATCATTTATATTTGCTGCTATATCTGCACTTGATGGCCTAGTTTTTCTTTGTGTGCATATCTCCCAGTACTTGTATAAATTTGATTAGATTTAAAAGGCACTGCACATGTTCTAGGTAATCCGATCATCAAAAAAGGCCACGGTTAAAAAGAGTAATAATCTAAATCAGTAGTTCTCTTTTCTACCACACATAATTTATCAACCAGGTGACCAACTCAGCCTGAAAAACCAGCCATACTTTCCCATCACACACAAATCCATGGCTTGACACACACATACATTCCCATCACAACCACTGTCCTTTCAAACAAATTGCCTTTACACTATAAGATAAATGATGTTTGGCTTAATAGCATTTTGTAATGAAAGCAAAATATCACTTTTGCACCAAACCAAGCCAGGTGAGGCAAAGCAATGTATATTTTTAAACCCTGAAATGAGTTGAGAAATATGTTGTCAGTTTGTAAACATTTTGGCATGTACTATTTTGTTCTAATTATAGTTTAATTCCTTCTCCATTCCCCAAATAATATGCTGCTGGCATTACAGCTCATACTGAAAAAAATATTTTATCCTCTTGCTCAGAAAAAATGTTGCCTATCTAAAGCAACTTTCATCCACAGACCTCAGAGAAGCTTGAGCACATTAAGTCTTAAAATACTTCAGGTATCCATTAGATGTGAGATATGAAGCTTAGTAAATTTCCTAAAATAATATAGTGAATAAATAAATAGCAAATTTCTGAGTACCATATAACTGACGACGTTGATCTGGCAGTCCACTATCCCAGCCACAAAATTCCCCTTGCACTGAAGTGGGAGCATAGTCTGGTGAGTGAGACACTGAACAACCACTCCAGGAATCCTTTCCACATTTGTAAAAGAGGGTTAACAGGTTCTTTTCCCCATCCCCTTGTGTGCCAATCAGTGGATGCTCCACCCTGCTCACCAGTTCTGAGTTCAGGTACCGATTCTGCTAGTGAATTTGGAGAAGTCCCTTTTAGCACATCAGTTTCTCCATCTGTTAAATGGAGATTGTGGTTCTGACATCTTTTGTGAGGCACTTCGAGATCTATGCGCAAAGAGCTATAGTGTAATGTATGTAAACCCTAACATCTTCTGACTAGCTAATGCAACAGAACGTTAAACAAGCTACAGAGGTTCTCAATGGAACAAGCAGATTTCCATAGAGACGAATAGCTTTGGATATGTAGCAGAATGAGTCCGAGACATCAAATCTGATCTGCTCTTCTGTTAACTAAACCCAAAATGTTCTGTTTGAAACTGCCAACATCACCTTCTGAAGTTGGTCAAGGAAGTTCCCAGCACAATTTGCTATTGCTGTTCCCTGATTTGCTATATAGGCTGTTGCAAGAATATCAGGTGAGGCTGCTAAAGCCAAATCAGTAAGGAATCAGTTTTCATTTCAGCTATATAGTGACTCTTTAGAGACGTGTCTGCAGAACCTGCTTCCTGAAAATGTCATACAAGAGCCAAAATCTGCTCTTGGATTACAGTGCACATCTTGGAACCACACAGTGGTCCTCTGGCATATTTTTTGAAATGGAAGATTATTTAGAGGTGGCCCAAA